AGCTGGCGGGGTGTTTGGGAGTGGTGTGCGAGGGAGGCAAACGCTGAACATGCTGGAAAAAAAAGAGCAGAAGAGAGAAAAAAAAAAGCGCAGGTGGGGTTAATCTTGTGTGTCTGCACTCTCAGGGAAATAAATGGACCTCAGAGAGAGGCACTGACTTTTCAGTGGAGTGTAGTACTCTTAAACGTCCCATATTCTCCTCATGTTCTCCTTTCATGTTGTCAGTGAAACCTATAAAGTAGCTCTGCATGATTTTTTTTCAGCTCAATAAACTCCTTATTGATCCGATCCTGGCGTCAGTAAAAACCTTCATTTCAGCCTCTGAAGTAAAGTCCTGCAAGTTCAGATCTCTGGTTTTGTCGATGCTCACTCAGGTGGTGGACTCTGAAGCTTCAGTGTTTATCCAGCTCTGCATGGGTCTGTAAACCTTTCTGTGTTCTAACCTCTCTCCATTTTTCAAAAGCATCTCCAATATTGATCCTAGTTTGAGCACGTTTCTGCTCGTGGAGCTTATTAGAAACATGCAGAGGCTTTTTAGGTCGGGTACAATCACTTCTATCTGAACCACTTCTCTTGACCGCTTCCATCACTGCAACACCTGTTGACCTGATAACTGCTCTCATATCTGACAAACCGAGGGGTGTCCAAAACGGCCGTGTGGGGGTGCCTTAAAACTGCCTTACCTTCTCTGGTCCAAACAAATCCAGAGCATTCAGGACCATAATTTAAAACTGAGTTGTATTTAGACGTATAAAGCTGCCAGCTGAAGTTACCAGCGGGAACAATAAAAAATCATTGTACCAGTTAACTTTCAAAGCATCAATAAGTTGGGCCCAGGTACAAAAGAGTGTGCGTTCTCTCCATCTGCGGTATATAAAGTGACGCTGGAAGTTTTACAGCAGGCCGATCAGATTTCCCTTTGTGCCTCCCTTTTTCAGGTTAAATTAAGTCCTTTGTGCGACACAAACATTTCCTCCAGGTTGTCCGGGCCCTGCCCCAGCTCTTCAAAACACTACGACCACACGCCCAGCAGTGTGAAAGCGTGCCTTCGCTTGAAAAGAAGCCATTGTCTGGCCCCCAGATGATTGTGAGTCATTGTGCTGGCAGCTCAAAGCCCCAGAGTCAAATGATGTGATGTAGCAGAGACAGAGAGAGAGAGAGAGAGAGAGAGAGAGAGAGAGAGAGAGAGAGAGAGAGAGAGAGACAGAGAGAGAGAGAGAGAGAGAGACAGAGAGAGACAGAGAGAGAGAGAGACCTCCATTGTGGCCCCGTGAAGAGCTGCGGCAGGAACGGCCTCCCTGGCAGATACCGGCCCGCTGGACGTTTCGGGGGAGTTTTGCATGAATAGTGGAGTAATTTCAAGTCAGAGGCGACGAGGCGATTAGCATTTTGAGAGGATTCACCGCCCCGCCTCCGTCCCCGTTCACAGGGCCGGTCTGTGAGTGCAGCCTGCAGAGAGGCTCTGTGGTCGGGGTTTGTTTGGGAGGAGAAGGTCACGTCTGCTTACAGAGACGTGTTTTTTTCACTTTCACAGACGGATGAACAAACGTGTGTTTTTTTTAGATTCAACCTGCATAGAGATAAAGGTCAAGGTGCCGTGAGGTTACATGAAGGACATTCTTTAGTTTGTTTTTTACATTTAGCCAGAAAAACATTTCAAGGTTTTTCACGAGACGGAGGAGCCGATTTATTCCGTCTCTCCTGAAACATTCAGAAAGTAGAACCTGCAGAGAATGACAACACGATAAAAAACCTGTCAAGACTACAGAAGACCAAAGAGGACGTTTTGCCTTGGGATAACTGTTCTGCTTTTATTTTGAAAATTAGTTCAGTTCAGTCGTTTTTTTTCTTTTCTGGAGGTTTCAAATAATCAACTTGTTATCACGAGATAACGAGATCGATGAGTTGAGCTCTTTAGAAAATCAACTTAACCCTTTCACACGTAGTGGTCACTAACAGGTGACGGCTACTCCAAAGCAGTTTTTCTTCTGATGGTTTTGATGGTTGGTTGCGTTTCCACCGTCTCTGGAGCGCACCAGCTGCGTCATTACACTACGCTCTGCTCAGTTTTAAATACACTACAAGTCTATTTTTAACCGAGCCCGCTGCAAGTAGATGTCAAGCTGAACAGAGCAGATCAACCCTGACAGGAAGTCAAACAAGGAGCGTCCGTTCAACTTTCAAAATAAAACACAACATGCAGACTCCTGATCGTAGTTTCAACAGCGAAATAAACTCAGAACGAGAGGGCAACATGTGTGATCTTGTAGTTCTCACACTCCAGAAACAGACCCGGTGAGGCAGGGCGCACGCCGTTGAAAAGAAGCAAATCCATGCTGATGGCACAACGCAGCGCACACTGACTATGTGGACAGTACAGGTCACAGTCATGAAGCTGAAAGTGAAGGCTTAAATTGTTTCCTTGAAAAGATAATGAAGTAGTTAGAAAACATGTGTGTCTTTTTTCAGGTTATTTTTTCCTCCGGTGAAACAGCAGTTTGGATTTTACACACACACACACACACACACACACACACACACACACACACACACACTCACGGCTCTCATTTCTCTCCGGACTCCCCTAATGAGCAGGATACTCTGCCAAGTTGTTTTTGGCACTTTTAAGCGTCAACACAGAGAACTTCACATTTCAAACAACAAATTGTTCTGTTCCTGAGTCTTTGCTCCTAATAAGGATGATTTGTTGTGGGATTCAAGTCCTCTCCCCCATCAAGGAAACAGATGGTGAAGTCTGTGAAAAAAGAAAAAAAATCCCTTCGGCTGAGGGAGTGAGCCAGGAATCTGCAGGTGTGTGTGTGTGTGTGTGTGTGTGTGTGTGTGTGTGCTGTCTACCTGCTCAGTGTCTTTTTACCTTCAGCTCTTAATCACATGAAATATAATCCGGTGGGTTGTTGTAGGAAGGTGTGTGCGGAGCAGAGCCAAGGCGTGACCACATGCGTTCTGAACCCAGGGAGGGTGACGGCGTTTGGGTTTGACCACGTACGGTATCTGGTGACCGGTGATCGGACCGTTACTATCAAAGAGCTGGTTTCATCACTCTACTGGTTTCTATGCTATCTGTTCTTTATGACACAAGCTCAAGGTAACCAGTTGATGTGCTCTCCTGAGATTAAATCCAACCCAACTCGTGTTTGCAAAAAATGTCTTTTTGTACATTTTACATTTTTGCTGGAGCCTGTGAAGAAGAGGACAACTCCAGCTGCCAACCGCTGGATTACAGAAACCAGTAAGCGTACAAACCATCAGGATGAAAACACATGAAGGCACACATCAATAGTTTAAACATTGGGACTAAACCAGGGCTGTCAAACGATTTCTGATTGTAATCACATGTATACAATTCCCTTATTTTGCATTTAAAATAAATCTTGTCAGGCTTTTATTTTGGTTTGTACATTGTCTTAAGCTGAGAGTACCTCTTTTAAAGAAACCAAATCTTAACCCCACTGTTCTTAGTAATTTTAGGCCTATTTCTAAACTCCCGTTTTTATCCAAAGTTTTAGAGAAAGTTGTTTCAACGCAGATTTGAGCTTTTATGAATGACAATGACCTCTTTGAGAAGTTTCAGTCTGGTTTTGGAGCACTCCATAGTACAGAAACAGCCCTCTTCAGAGTAACAAATGACCTACTTTTAGCTACTGACAGAGCAATTTTAATTCTTTTAGATTTAAGTGTGGCATTCGATACTGTAGATCATGCCATTTTAATTGAACGTCTCGAGTCCTGGGTTGGTGTCAAGGGCACTGCACAAGCTGGTTTTATTCCTATCTTTTAGACAGAACCTTTGCGATCACCATAGGTAACCACTCATCCTCCACCTCGTTTTACCTGTGGTGTACCGCAAGGTTCGATTTTAGGCCCACTCTTATTTTCTATTTATATGCTCCCACTCGGTAAAATTATCCAGCGCCATAACCTTTCTTTTCGTGTTTGAGCATCTTTAGCTTCACCACGAGGTCACATGATCTCCTGCAACACAAACGAACACTTTAAGAAATAAGAGACCTCATCAAAAAAACAAAACAAGTTGTGATAAACCGGTCCAAAAGTTGATTTAGAAACCTGCTTGTTGTGTTTCCACTGGAAGAGTCCATGATTGTTTTTTGGAGGGGTGGCAGAGGGCTGAACCAATCTGCACATTTGTTAAACATGCATGTGTCTTAATGAAGTTCTTGCATGTTTTGTAACACCACATTATATTTCATACAGGTGTAACATTGTCAGCCGCCCCTAATGAGACGCACGTTAAATAGTATTCAAATGTGTTACTACATCTGTGGAAGGTGTGAATTTAATGAGCTTCAGCGGCCCCTGGGAGGAAATGAAAAGAAAAGCTGTTTGATAAGAGTTTTCTCAGTAACAGGGATTTTAATTTATTTTCTCACTGTCGGCGCCTCAGCTGTGGAGGAACTTTCTCTCGCATTCTTAATGAGAAGTTGTGGAACTGAGAGGTGAGAGACGAGATGAGTCTCTGCGGTCCTCAGACGCTTTGGGTTTCTGCATCTGCACCGTTTATTTCCTCAGGTTGTAACACTTTTATTTAAGGACGTGTTGAAGGGGAGATGCATCACGCATGGAAGGAACATCTGAAATGCAACGTTGGAGATTTGTTTTCTCATAAACGTTTGGTTACCGCAGATCTTCTCTGAATGAAGTTTCTGACTTTCTTTGTTCTTCTTTATGAGATGTTCAGACATGTCGCTTTGCGCAAGTCAAACGCTGGTCACTTGACACAGGTCACTTGTTCAATTGATTATTTTTCACAACAAGGAGAAACTGAAATTATTTTGTAAATTATCTCTGAGGAATGTTACTCAGGAGCCTCCAATGTGCTCAAGAGATGATTTTTTTTGCACATTTTCGATTTCTTTGTTTTATTTTGAAAAGTTGTGCTTTTCCTCTTCCTGCTCTCTCGAACTCTGGTGATTTATTTTCCAAAACGAGTAAAACTGTTTTATTTCTCTCTTCATTTTCAGAGGCCAGAGATCCAAAATGGGAGGCAAGCTCAGCAAAAAGAAGAAGGGCTACAACGTAAATGATGAAAAGGCCAAAGACAAGGACGCCAAAGCAGAGGGCGCCTCTGCCGAGGAGAGCGAGGCTCCGAAGGAGAATAAAGACGAGGCCCCGGCTGCCGACGGGAAGGAGGTAGCGAACGACACGGCGGCCAAGGATGCGCTGGCCGCAGACGCTGCGGCGGCCAAAGACGAGGAGAAGAAGGAGCCCGAAAAACCCGCCGCCAACGCCGAGCCCAAATCAGACGCGGCGCCCAAGAGCGCGGAGCCGGCCAAGGCTGAGGAGAAAGCGGCTGCCCCTGCCCCAGCGAAGGAAACGGCCCCTGCCCCCGCCGCCGCCAAGGAGCCTGAGGCGAAGCCCGCGGCCGAGAGTAAAGGTGAGGCCGACGCCAAAAAGACTGAGGCCCCCGCGGCACCAGCAGCCAAAGCAGAGGCGGCCCCCGCTGCCTCCCCCGACCCCAAGCCCACGGAGGCGGCTCCGGCGGCGAAGGAGGCCGCAGCAGCCGCCGCTAGTTCAACACCAGCCGCCGAGCCTCCCGTCAAGGAGGCGAATGCCACAGAGGCACCAAGCAAGGATCAAACCGTAGCAGTTCAAGATTAATGGACAGCTTCTTTTCGGAAATAAAAAAATTAAAAAAATAAAAGTACCTAACTCAACGACGAAGATAAAAAAATAAAAAATTAACTAGCCCCGCCCATATTATGAAAATAACAATAATAATAATAATTGTGACGACGACGATTTGTTGAATGAGGACTGGAGCGAACACCTGGAGAAGTTTCCCCCTGCTGCAGATGATTATTGCTATTATTATTGTTATGTTTGATTTTTATTTTTTCTGCTGTAGTATTTGAACTTTGATACGAGTCTGTGTCGGCCTCGCCATCACACATCCCATCATCCCTTTCTCTCTCTCACACAGCGTCACCTGATCTCTGTGATGTCATCAATATCTAAACCTGGGGAAGGGGGAGGGGCTGAGGGGAGGAGGAGGGGGAGGGCGTGGTTTAAGAAATCGCTTCACCAGCTGGACCTCCATTGAGTCCGTCTGCTCTCTCTCTCTCCCTCTCTCTCGCCCTCGTCCTCCTCCTCAGAGTCTCGTCTGCTGTGGCCTAGTGGTCAGGATTGTTGGACGGTGTTGCTCCCCGTTTCTTTCCTCTCTGGTTAAAAAAAAACTAAATTGATTGTGAGGGCCGAGAACGTTCAGGCTTTCTGAGACATGTGGGACGTTTTTTAAGAGGCGGGCTTTGTCAGAGCAGAAACACATTCTTAGACGTGTAAAACAAGTCGTAGACATTTTTCAGATTTTTTACTGGAACCCTTAGGAGGTATATATTGTAACTCAACTAAGAGGTTTTTTAACATTTGTAATATGCCTGTAAAATCTGCAAAGCCTGGCTCCAAGGAAACCTCTTGCGGTGTTCTTAGAAATCTTTGATCCTCCGTTCAAATCTGATGATTTCGTTTTTTAAAACAGAGAAGATTTTAGTTGCAGGATGGAGTCACTGCTGCAGAGGGTCCACCTCCACCGACGGCTCAACATACCAGACCTCTGATGTTTATCACCCGGATCGAAAAATACACGAAACTGACTCGTCCTGTCTTTGGATTTAGATTCTGGACTAAAATAGAAAACTCAAATCCTTTTTCTAACCTGCTAAGAGTGACACTAAAAGTCCCACAAAGTTTGCAAATATGCAAGAAAAGTAGGAGTTCACTTTCAGGATTAGGCAGCAAGAAATGTGAAGGTTATACTTTGAAACAAAAAGCACAAAAACTGAAGAGTGCACAGGCTGATTAGAGGGACTTTGAGAGTCAATTTTGAAGTCAAATGTTGAAAATATTTAAAGATGAATCTGTTTCTGGATCGGTTACACAAGAGCTTTACGGCCACATCTGATACATTCATTTGATTTTGAAGTCAGAGATTAAATCTCAGAATGCATTTTCATTAGTGTTGTAGCCAAGAGCATATCATACCCGAGTCCAGAGACCTCCAAGACCAAGACCACGGGGCCATGTCACCCACCCAAACACAGAGAAGGTTTAGTCCGTAACCGGGGGGGTTAGAAAGGGGCGTTTCCCTCTAATCACAGGAATGATGTGTAAAAAACAGCCCATCAGTTGTGGTCTTAACCGGTCTTGATTTAAATATTAAATCAAGTAAAAATGCTTTGGATCCCAAGACCTTTAAAAAGAGGTCTCCAGACAGGTTCTGAGATCAAGACCACTTGCAGAAGCAAACTTGCAGAAGAAGAAATCGCAAAGTTTTGAGATTAAACTCAAAAGATTCCTTAACACCGAGGACTTCTGAATTACAAATTTATGCACATTTTGTTTGACATCCAGATAATTTGATTCTGAGGTTTGAAAGAATTGATCTCATACAACGCCGGTCGCTTAAATCATTTTGTCTGAACATGAATTAACCAGACCAAGCCGAACTATGTGCATAGAGAAATCATTCAAGCAGCAGGAGGGGGAGGAGGAGCAGCCAAACCTCAGCAGTCTGGTATGTAAGCCGCCCTGCAGGTCTGCGTTCCTGCCTTTATTTTTAAAGTCGATCCGTCATTGATCAGTGTGATGTCATCGATGAGACAGGAGGAACCCTGGGAGACATCATCGCCTGTTCCATCTACTGTGCTCCATGTCTCCATGGCAACAGTACGCCACGCCACGCTGTCACTCCAGGACGGGGAAAAGGGAGCTTCTGATTTTTTGTCATTTTCACCCCTCATGCATTTCCTTTACTTTATGGAATATATAACGACTAACATCTACACATGTGCAGGGATGGACGGAGGACGTAATTACATCTTTCACTCAAGTTGAAATATTTATGTGGAAGGGAAAGGAAGGAAGAAAGGAAGGAAGGAAGAGAGAAGGACAGGAAGGAAGGAAGGAAGAAGATAAGGTACTTAAGAAATCATAATTTAAGTATGCATTGAAAAAGGAGAAAGTTTGTATCCCCAATATTGGTGATATTTATGCTTTCATATATGAGAGAGGAAGAAAAGATGATATTAAAAGAGAGAAATGAAAGAGGAAATGAAGACAAATGAAGGATAGAAAGAAGGAAAGAGAGGCATCAGGAAGGCAGGAAAGAAAGGATTCATCATGGTCGTGATCATCTCTGAATTAGAGAATCAAATTTGCAAAGTAAACGCTTTGATAAGCTTAAATAAATCAGAAATCCTAAACCCCCTCTAATTTCCTTCTTTGCATATCTGTGGATACACACGTTTATATTTCCTCATCTCGTCCATCCATTCGCCGACTCTTCAGTTGCATACAAGTGCCACACAACGTCGTTTCCTCCCCAGCACTCGTCAAACCGTAGCAGAAACAAACATGGCGGAGCGTTGTGTGTCACTTGGGGTTTTTTTCTTTGTTTTTTTCTTCCTCTCTTGACTCAGTAAATTGCATGTCCGTGGTTGGGTGAACCTGTAGTCCTGTCTTTTTGGTCAAGTGGAATTCAAAAAAATATATATTATTATTATTATTATGATTATTATTTCTCAGTCTGCATCCATGGCAACTACAGTTGATATTTTCATCCCATGTCTCACCTCTGCTACTTCCACACTACACGTTCATGGAAAAAAACAAACAAAAAGATGATATGGAAATTTGATGCATTCAAAATTATATGTACTTGTATAAATGGTGCAACAGTAATAAAATGTAAGAAATTGACTGAAACTTGATGACTTTGTGCAGGTTTTTCTCCCCCTCCCCCAGTGCACTCACATATTAGATATTTAAAGGTGACATATTCTCCTCCTCTTCAACCAGTGTAAAAAAGTCTCAGAGCTACTCAAAAAGTCTCTTCTTCTAAATCCACTCTGATCCTGTATTTGATCATGCCTATAAACCCCTCTATTTCAGCCCTGCTCAGAACAGGCTGTTTCTGTGCCTGTACCTTTAAATATGTAAATGAGCTGTGTCTGACCACGCCCCCTCTCTAAAGGACTTGGGTGTACTCGGTGCTTTCTCGCTCCATGTCCTATTGTTTACGGTGAGAAGGCAGACTCAGAGGGCAGAACAAACACCTAGCTGTAGGAGTGTCACCGATGGGGGAGTGGCTACTGCCCTTTGTGATGTCATGAAGGGAAAATCTCCAAACGGCCTGTTTGAGCACACATTTTATGAAAAGTGGAGCAGGCAAAAGACAGAGAGGATGGACTGCAAGACTTTAAAAGTTCCATTTGTGGGCTGCTAAAGTTACTTGTAGAACTGGTATTTAAGGAGACAATTATTTCCCAGTGTTGGTGGAAACCAACGCTGAGCTGAAGGGAGACTAAGACATATTGTTCCTTCCAACCTCACAAGGACGTATAGTGTTTTTTTATGAATAATAATAATAATATATTGGTTTTTATAGCGCTTTTCTAGGAACCCACAGACGCTTTGACAAAATATAAAACCATAAAACATGAATGCTTGTCTGTGTTTGCTGCATACTTGCAGAAATATTTTGCAGCCAAACCATCAAGTTCAGTTATTTAGCAGACACGTGGAAGCAGCTGACCTCAGAGGTGTGCTAGCAAAACAGACCAAACACAATGAATCACAACAATAAGGAGTCAAAATAGAGGGTGTGAAAAAAATGGGTCTTCTTTTTCTGTGTGTGGTTTGTCCTGGTTTTCCTTCTCACCTGGGCTCAGGGTCCTCGTGTAAAGTGATTCACAGTATTATTACACCTGAAGCACCTGGCACTGTGTCAGCTGAACTCTGCAGCGTCAGACGTTCACATCCACAGACTTTTTTTTTTTTTTAAAGTTCAGTGAGACATTTTGACTTGTTCTGTGATGGAGCTACAATCCTCTTCAATCATTATTATGACTCAGATGTTCCTCATTCTACACACAGCTTTAGTAGAGTGTGTTTGTACTATCTTCACCCGTGATTATGTGTAGAATTGAAGCTATAAATGCCCTTGTTTATGCAAAACTCACAACTATGCAGATGATGTTGTGACATATATGTCGCAGTGTGGGCCAAGCTATAGGTATTCCCAAAGCTTGGCACACACTGCAATATTATTTTTAACCTTTATTTAACCAGGAAATAATCTTATTGAGATTAAAAATCTGTTTTTTAAGAGCGTCCTGGACGAGACAGGCAGCAGCACACTGTACAGAGTTTCACACAAACAACGAGCAGCCAAACATTCAAATACTAAAAATACATCATTAGACATTAAAAGATGCAAATAACAAATCTGAACAGCAGATACTTATCAATATCATCCAAGAACACATCTGGAAGAATAGAATTACTTTATTGATCCCAAACTGGGAAATTCTGGAAAAGAACATCTACATCCAGATGTGTCCACCTCTAAGTCATTTAACTTCCTCTAAAAAAAACGTCCAATCAGAGCAGCTTGTGAAGTTTCAGTTCTTTTAGTAATCCGTTCAGAGTAAACGGAGCAGAAAACTGAAATGCCTTTTTCCCTAGTTCAGTTCTGACTTTTGGAACAGAAAGTAAAAAAAGGTCCTGAGATCAAAGATTATAAGTCCCAGTGCCCGTCTGACTGATGGAAGCAGACCTAAAGTAGACCTGTAGATTAGAGTACGTTTAAGTGTTTAAGTCTGCATAGGGTCAAAGAAGTCCATCCAACACGTTCATTCAACAAACAGTGATGAGTGAGGGATTTAAAGTGAGTGAAGCACCTCAGAGCTCAGAGAGTCCAGAGAGAGTGTACGCTTTGTGAGGAGGCGTGCATGTATAAAACATCACCTTAATCCAGCACAGACATTGAAGTGGCAGCAACCAGCCTCCTCTCAGACTCGACAGAAAGGCAGGGTTTGAATCCCAGTTTCAGCTTTTAAAATCATCACAGATGTTAAAAATGTGACAGAGCCCACACACACACATGCTGTCATATAAAGATAGATGAAACAGTTTTCTTCCTGTAATATGTGGAGAGCAACAAAGTGACCAAAACAGCCCCACCACACACTGACAGATTCATCCACCAACGACCAACGAGTCCTGACTCTAAACAGTGGAAAACCTCTCACTGTCAAACTGGACTTCTGAGTAAACAGACGGCAGACGACAGGCGGGAAGAATCGACAATGATAGTTACTGGACTGGGTACAAAGAAAATGTACAAAGTTAAAAGAAAAATCTTTGGATGAGGTCTCAGGGACGGTGTAAAGATGGGCTGTAGATGCTAGAGAGCGAGCAGGAGGTGAGTGAAACATTTATTTGCTGCTGTTGTTCTTAACAATCGACTATCGTTTTGTTCACATGGCAATCCTGTCCTTAAGGTTCCCTCCCCACAACAGGAAGTCGGATCGCACCACGTTGGGCACCAATTGTTTTGGGCGGCAGTAGCTCAGTCTGAAGGGACTTTGTTTGGTAACCGGAGGGTCCAGGGCCGGACCAAGTCTGGAAATTGGTCTGGTAGCTGGAGAGGTGCCAGTTCACTTCTTGAGCGCTGCTGAAGTACCCTTGAGCAAGGCAACGGACCCACAATCAGCTCAAGAGCGCTCTCTGTGAGCAGCCCAGTCTCTCTGAAATCTCTCCATTAGTGCACGTCTACAGGATCCTGTTTGTGCATGTGTGTGTAGCATGTCTCAATAACACAGTGTAAAACTGAATTTCCCATCTTAAGATAATAAAGTATCTTCGTCTTCTTCTCTAAATATTTACCATGTGTGATATTTACAATTTGAAATCAGTGCGACCCAGACGACCTCACACCACAATAGAATCTATACAATCATGAAAAATCAGGACTTGGGTTTAGGATTGTGTGAAGGGGAGAACCAGGTCACAAATCCACCACATTATTCTGCAGTGAGTCCCAGGGTTGTTTGAGTTCATACAGATACACACACACACACACACACACACACACACACACACACACACACACACACACACACACACACACACACACACACACACACACACACAGACACACACACAGCACCCCAAAGGCTCTCTATAGGCTGTGCCGCTGCAGCTGAGCAATTATTTCACTCCTCCTTAGCTCATAAAGAAGAAAAAATATTGACGGGGACACCAGAAACACGAAAATATTAAAGGCTGCCTCCTCGCCGAGAGGTGATGATTGATGTCTTTATCTGTTCCTCTTTCCCTCTCTCTCTCTATCTGTCTCTCCCTCTCTCTCTCTCTCTGTCTCTCTCTCTCTCTCTCTCTCTCTCTCTCAGGGAGGAGGCAGTAAATCAGGGACCTAATCTCACTGCTGTGATTTACACCTGCTCCGACGCCGTTTCTCACCCCGTAATACCTCCACCATGCCTTTACACGAGCCCCGGCGAGGAGAGATAAGATGGGACGCTGTAGAGAAGCAGGATCTGGTGGATTGGGATTTAAAACATGATGCTCACTCACAGCCTGAACATGCAAACTGGAGATAAAGCCTGTAATGTAAAAGAGGACATGAACATGTTTATATAGTGCTGATCGTCATATACTCTCAGGGTGTAATGCACCAAGAACAGATGGTGGATGATAAAAGCTCCATGAGCTGCACATCACTTGCTCCACATCGTGGTCTTAGTCATATTCGGGTGCAAACACGCTCGCAGCGATGTCCTGCTCGGTGCAGTTTTAGCGTTTAAATGTGGAGGGAAGCTATCTGGAACAAGTTTCAGTTCAACGTTTAAAACAAAGCTGCCTCCCTGGATTGGAGCGAGCACGGTCAACTCACAGAAAACACTCTTACCCTCGTTGTGCTTAAGGACTCCAGACTGTCCCTACACATGTGGATGAAGTGTGGAGCTGCCGACAGCTGCGGACTGATTCAACCCCTGAATATCTTAATAATAGTCATGTCAAAGTCATTTTATTTACAGTTTATTTTTGAGTTACACAGACGCAGGATTGTTTTCCCGATCGCTGGAACGTTTGTGGCCCTGTGATTGGCTGGTGTGTAACCCCGCCTCTCACCCAATGGCAGCTGCGATTGGCTCCAGACCCCCACGACCCGAACGGGAAATAGACGTTCAAAAAATGGATGGATGGAACGTTTATGCCCCTCATCTCTCATAAACACTTAGGCGCAGTTACTGCCAACTCTCAACAGAGGGTCATTTTTCTTTTCGCTCTATCACTGCGTGGTTGTCTGTGTTTTCAAAATAAGACGCTTTTGCGATGAATTTTTTTTGCATAGCTAGGCGCCAGTTTTTCCCCCAAACGACTGCATCATGAATCATTTACATACCTGCAAACATCCCGGATGCAAAGAGACACTGTTCGCTCCACAGCGCAGTTTGAGGAGCATTTAACCCTTTGCTTGTTTTTGCTTGTTTTTTTAATTAGACTGTATCATTTTGACTCATTGCACGAGTTTAGTGAGCGCAAAACTTGACTTTATCCTTTTTGTGAATTTGGCCAATAATGGTTGATTAGTAGCTCAAAAATCTACTGCAAAAAAATCCAAACTACCCCTTTAATTCTTCTCTGTGCTTTTCTGTCTAGAGACCGCAGAAGGCAAAGATAAATAAATACAGATATCATGCTGTATTTAAAACCTAGAAAAAAGCCACACACACACAAACACACACACACACTTCCTCTCTTGCCACACTTGTTGTGTTTTTTTTTTCTTTCTTCGCAGAGTTGGTGTCACAAATGATGCATTCTGACATTTCTATTTTTGTGTCTGTTTGAAAACACTTGCACGGCTCGATGTGTCTCTGTGTGTCAGAAATATTAAA